ATTCAATTCTTTCACTTATCCCAGCATTTTTCAAATAATTCATTAGGAGACTATGTATTTCCCTAGCAGATTTCCCACTGTCATGTTTTGTTTCCAACTTGTGTTTCTAAAGCCCTATTCGCATGGGATTAGTATTACCTGGTGTCCTCCAGTCATTTGTAATAATTGCGGAGGTTGTCTGTGATCTTAATCCCGTGCGAATCGGCCATGTCTGTAATTTGTAAAGTAAAAATTCCCCCGCAAATGACCTACCATATTTCGCCGAACACCGAGGTCCTGTGATAATATTAGTCCTGTTCGAATCGGCATCTCTGTGATTCGGCCAGCATTTGACGGGTCGCATATCATTTTTCGAGGTTTTTGTTTCCTGTGCGCCTTTTTATCCATCTTTCGCGAAGAATGGAGCTGCGTTGAAGTGTTTGATAGCATTTTGGGTGCAGTCATATCGCTACACCATACAATTTGCAGAAAGAGAAAGCTGAAAAGGTTTTGAGGTTAATGTGTTACAAATAAATCAAGCATAAAGCATACAGCTAAACGCGTCTCCGTGTGGACGGGGCCTAGATGTTGCACAAGAGCACCGATTACCAGACCAAATAAACATGCCTCGGCCACACCTCCCTCCATTGTCAAATATTTCAATAACACACACCTGTCTAGTAAGTTTGTCAGTTTATCTGCTGATGGCCTTTCTTCATACTCTTCCTTAATCCTAGGAACAAATGGAGCATAATAAATTACAATCCATAAAAAGTTAAACACTGTAATGAATTCAAAATTAATAATTTCTCACCTGGTGGAAATTCTGACAGATGAATGGTGTGTCTGTTGACAGTATTTAGTCTGAGGTAGGACTGTACATCTCTTTTTTCAGTGTTCACCAGCGGCTGAAAGCCAACTCCAGATTCACTCTTGTTTTGGAGTGAGCTTTATCTGCCCAAACATTCACCTCTAGTTTTTTGCCATTTCCGTAGCTGCTTCCCCACCTCGTCACTGCAATTTTTTTGAAGTCCCGTCCTCACCTGCACCATGTGTCGTCATTTGTTGAGGGCTCCCACCGGTACACCCACTGGCCAAAGGTCACAGCTCATGTCCCAAGCACAGCATTTGACCCGTTTCTTATGAACAACTTTATAAACACTAGATGTGGCACGGGAGCACCACATCTTAGATCAAAACTAGACTGGCTCTAGATATTATATTTATCAAGTTATTTACGCATTGAGGAGAAGTAATTCATATTGGAGCCCTTTGGGTTCACCATCTTGGGCAAGTCAGATCCTTATCTGGCCTTTCTTTGCGAAAGGATTATTATTTTTTCCCCCTGTGGAAGTTAAGAAGTTAGCAAATATCCAGATAACAAAAAATATGTTCTAAGAACGTTTTACTAAGATTATCATTATGTTATTAAAAACGTTATAACGTAATGTTACAGTTACTGTATGTGAATGTTATGTGAATGTTACAGACAACATTAAGAAAATGTTCCATTTTATAATTTTGCAAACATTATGGGAACGTTACATTTGAATGTTCTCTGAAACGCCTGAAACTAATAAATAGTAACATTTAAAAAACATTAGACAAACGTCCAACTAAAATGTTTCAGTAAAAACATTCTATAAATGATGTATAAATAATGTTTTTGTGCTAATGTTTTGAGAACATTATTGAAGACCAGCTAACTCTGAACAGCCCTGTACATTCTGTATCACAATACTACAGTGTATTTCCTTTATTATTATTCATTTTATTTGTAATCTTCTATCTGTTACATAACATTGCTTGTTTATTTTTTTTTCTAGCTGCAAAAATATGAACGCTATGTGCACCCAGACAACCACCATGCAGTGCGTCAGTCGATCCCAACTGGTTTTGCTTCAGTTTCCAGAATTTACATTGAACATCAAGTATTCATTGTACCAAACAGAAATGTCTTTAGATCTGAACACTGAAATGCAATATTAATATCACCATGATTTACATAATCTGTTGCAGACCTGTCAAACAGTTTAGAAGAAGTTTAATCATATGACAGCGGACTTTATACTGACACCTGTTGGTGTGGATGCAGCATTATGGAAATTGTCCCCCATTATCTATTTATTCTGCAGTCAAAAGGACTGATTGGGCGGTGTTTATTGAGAAACCTGTAGTATTGGGCTGGTCACATTATCTCAACATGCTGGATGCCATGACAGGGAAGCACCTCATGCAAAATCACAAAGAAAATATATCCTGCGTCACGCTCACAGGGCGGATCTCTCACGCTCAATGCTGATGTTTGCGCTGGCGTTTCCAGTTCATCTGGTTTCCAGAAAGGCATCTCTGACCAAAACAAAAGACTATAGAAGACGACGCCCCGATTGTCACTGACCAAACAAAAACGTATTTTTATAAATTAATCTTATACGTTACATTCACAATAACCACAGTATCATTTCATACAGGTGTTCACATTCAGCATCAACATTTTTCTGTTCTTAATGGTTATACTGGTTATAATAACAACAGTTTTTGTAAACCTGTAAATAAAGGTAAAAGACTGTGGAAAATGCAAGACATCAATCATAAATCAATAATTCGCTTTCAGTACAGTGCAATAATTATAGTGTATATGGTCAAGCTCAGCACTTGAGAGGTTCACCTGAGGTTTTCCAACGTTTTCCATAAAGTGCATGACAGGATCTTCCAAAAAGAGGCAGGAACTACACATGATACTCAAAAATAAGTCTTTCACGATCATGTAGTGATCAAAAAATGGACAAAAATTGAAGATCTAATTGAAGTAGCTGCATTTTTGGGTGTCGAATTGTCCAGTTCTTTGTTGTTAAAATTCATTGACAGGATTTATCTTCTGTCACCCCACTTTCATTCTCATTCTAGAGATGGTAATCACTGTTAAGAGTTTAATTTCCCAAGACAATGATGATCAAACGGTCATTCATCCATTCTTTTAGTCACTCAGTGAGTCCTTTTGTTTTCCTGAAGTTAATTTATTCGACTACTCCAGTCCATATTCCTCATCCAGTCCATGCTCACTTGGGCAGGAGTTCGCGGTATGGCACCGTCAGGTTCCCTAGGTACCAGAAGATCCAAAACACCAAGCTAAGGAAGATGATGATCGGTCCGGTCAGGACAAACAAATCCCAAAAACTGATGGGTGCAAAAATGCCAATGAGGAAGATAACTAGTCCGGCTACGTCAAACAGAATGGCCAAGAAGAGAAAGAGGAAGCAGCGTCCCACTCTTTCCTTGCAGTCCATCTTGGAGAAGCTCAAGTAAGGAGAACCGACGGATGTACGGCAGGCTGACGGGCCTGAAGAACGAATGACAGGAACGTTCTCTCCACAAGACTTTCATAAAGCAGCTCACCCACATTCTTACGCAGTGCATTTCTTTGACTGCAGGCATGCAACCACCAAAACAAGTTCAACTGCCTGCCGAACGCCTATTGAAAATGTGAAGACTTATTTTTATGCATATTATTCCTCAGACTGCTCTCATCACCATGACACTGGATCTACTAGATAAACACTTGAGAACAGATTCAGAGATTTCCACAGACAGAGAAAAGCCTTCGTCAAAGCACTGGCGCAGATGAAGCATTACAATTTTTTTCTGAGTTGTTTTCTCAGTTACGTAATACTCAAACAATCAGTATGAGTCACAGAAACACACTGCACATTTCAGGAAGTCACACGAATTGAGGCGTTATTCAATTTGAAAATGAACCCTAACACTCAAAGGTTAGGCATTAGATCGAATCACTAACTGTAAGTATGCAGCAATAGTGACTAAGCAAACACCACTAATGAACCAAGAACAATACAGTCATATGGGTGAAATCGTGGTTTAATAGTGTGTATCGTTTATACAAACTGAAAACAGCTTTAACTTTATACGCATTTCATATTGCATTGGTTACAACAACAGCAACTATTGTGAATGAAAGAGGGAGTGTTTACAGTCAGGATTTGTTTGGCATGTCAAGATTACATGTTTTATATTTACATACGTCATACAATTTTTCATATACAGCATGTTTACGCATGCATCGCTCGCTCACTACTGAAAATAGAATATATATAAAAAATATAGTTGAAATTTCATGATCTGGCAACATAATTCTGTGTAGCCACAATAATAATAATAATAAAATAAAGGCATTGATTTGATTGATTTCTGTTCACTAAAGCAATGTTGGATAATATATATATATACAAATATATAAATATATTACAATGTATTTATATATACATAAATAATTCAAAATGTATTTCTGAGGCAAGAAAATACTGTACAAATGATAACATTGTTACAATGTATTTTCTTGGATTGAAATATATGAAGGGCAAAATCATTTTTTTTTAAATCATAATTTAAAATAAAATGTAAAAAATATACAAAAAGGCCAAAATATATTGGTAGAAAAGATATTTACATTAAGTACATTTTAAAACATTTTAAAAAACATTTTGACCTTTTTTCTATATTTTGATATACATATATATATATACATACAGTTTTATATGTTCGCTTGTGTACCAAGATGAACCAACAGGTCCCATGAATAAACGGCTTGACTCCGGAGGAGTTTGCATGAACGCTCAGCTGACACTTTGAAAGGGAAATGGATTCCTACAATGCATGAGGTGGTGCATGAATTTACAAATGAGGATGTGCAAAAAACAAGGGCTGTACCTGAGTAGCTCTTTACAACAACACAGAATATCAACGATAACAAAAACACATCACACATTGAATGTCTATACATCAGACAATATTTTGGCCATTTTGAGATGATCAACATTCGGCTGGTGAAACAACAGTTTTGTCAAAGCATTATAATTTCTTCTAAAGATTTTTGTGCAAGTAGGAGTTCACTTAATTTCACCAGTTTGGTGTGCATTAAATGTATTACAGTGTTATATCAGCCACCCTGCTTTATAGATATCAGGTCATTGAGAAACTTCAACCCCCACACAGAAACACAACAGACACTTGTGCTTCACTATATTCAAGTAGTTTTAATATAGTACTAATGTACCATTTGAATCGTACGCAGTATCTCTAAATGTACTGCTGATGGCAAACGTTTGAAGACTATTGAAGGTTCTTGGCTATTCAGTCATTGTTTTAGAACCTAGAAAAAAGAAAACAAGCTTCTTAAATTTTCACAAGTACACATTTCCAATTCATGAATGAATTAGAGAGTGTGCTTTAATTTTTAAATCTATATGCACATCTATAATGGATATTAAAGGTCAAGGATGATGTAGTTTAAATGATAAAATACTACAAAATGAATGCATGCAAGACTGTACATAGAAATACCGCATGTATACAAGAAGTATGATCTTATGTAAATAATCTAAATTGTAGGTTTAGATTTGCAGCTTATCTTGGTAAACAATTACACACCAGTTACAATAAAACACACGGATGTCTATTTATGAAAATGTCATGTGCATATCATGAAACTGTAAAGATCGAGTCACATACTGGGAGTTTATTCTGTTAAATTGAACTTTATTGTGCTAGAGTTAATTTAACTCACCTCTTCTCACAGCAGAACATCAATGCTCTCTGGCTGATCGTCTGGCTTCTCCTCCTGAGGTTTTTCACCGTCTTTGGTCACGTCTGATTCGGATTCTTCGTACCCTTCATTCTGGTAACAAGTGAACTGATCATCTCCCGGCTTTTTCTCCTGAGACGCTTCATTGCATTTGCTCACATCTGATTCAGAACCGTCTTCTGACCGGGTCTGGTCATCTGTCTCCTCCTGAATTGGTTTGCATGACTCCTCGTCCTCGTACCCTTGATTCTGGTAGCACATGAACTGATCATCATCTGACTTTTCTTTGGATAGTTCATCACATTTGATCATATCCGATTCAGGATCTTTGTGTCCTGGGAAATAGGTGGATTTTCCCCATGTTACATTTCGAATGGTGGAAGCTTTGCTTCCTGTTTCCTCACCTGTGTAAAAATAATAGATGAGCTTCTATATACAGATCAATATACACTCTTAAAAATAAAGGTGCTTCAAAAGGTTCTTCAAGCGATGCCATAGAAGAACCATTTTCGGTTCCACAAAGAACCATTCAGTCAAAGGTTCTTTAAAGAACCATCTCTTTCTTACCTTTTTGTAATCTGAAGAACTTCTTTCGCCACAAAGAAGCTTTTGTGAAACAGAAAGGTTCTTCAGATGTTAAAGGTTCTTTATGGAACCATTTAGAAAAAACGGTTCTTCTATGGCATCCTGAAGCATCTTTATTTTTAAGAGTGTACACAAATACAAGAATAGACACAGACTGGTAATGGTTATTTAATCAGTATTTAATCTTCAATTTATTATGTAATCTTGAAAGAATGTAAAAATGATAATAATAATAAAAATAATAAGGGATTCATGAACTTAAGGATAATACATTTAAAAAATGAAAGGTACTTCAGTGGGTTTTATAAGGAGATGGTGGAGGGAAAAAATGAAGTGATGAAAAATAATATTTCAAAGCAAAACATTTGCGTTTCCCTAGAAACCCCAATAAACGTTGCGTCCACTATTTCCATGACAAAAGTTTTGCAAACGAACACAAGGATTCTCGGGGAACGCAAAAGCGTTGAAATACAGGCTGATTTTACCTCCTATTTTTCCTCCATGCCCATTTAGTGGCTTTGTATCTTTAGGTTTAATAGACGCCTCTTTTTATTATCAAGAACATATTTGACTTAATAGGATTTTTGACTTGCTATATGGTTCTTTGTATTTTAAAAAAGGTTCTTAATGTTAAATTCTAGGATTTCAAGTCGGTGTTTTAGCACCGGTTAAACAATAAAACGCTTCTCACCGGTGTTGTCCTTCAGGTGTGTTTTGGACAGTCTCTCCGTGAGCTTCCTCGCGAGCTCTTTGACGCTCTGCGCGGCGCTCGGTCTGAAATCTTCATCCTTCACTCTGATGTTCCCCACGTACCACATGAGCCACAAGGCCAGGCTTGCGAACAAGACCAGCGCGCCGGTGTGGATGAGGAAATCCCCGTAAAACACGCCGTGCATCCGCACGTTACCGAATATCCCGACGAACAGCAGGACCACACCGAGGATGTCGAAGACGATCGCCATGACGAATAACGGCAGGCAGCTGCCGATGCACCTCAGCGCCGTCATCTTCAGGAGGAGGATGAGGATGCTGCAGCTCCCGTCGCTAGCGGAAGAACTGCCGAGCTCAGGTGAGACGCACCTGGCGCACAGGGAGGGAACGCCCTCGTGACGTCACGAAGGCTGCAAGGCTGCTGACGGTGGGACTGCGACCAAATCAAATGGCCTTACATCGCATGTTTAATTCAGCGATTACTATATTTATGCAGTATCCCAGCCAACATTCTATTATGGGGCCCGTGTGGGTTTGGGCTGTAAATATGGGCCCTATATGGGTTTGTCCATGGGTTCCATGTGGGCCCCATCTGAATTATCCTATATGAATATCATATGGGGCCTGACTGGGGCTTATGTGGGGCCTAACTGGGCAACACATATAAGACCCATATTGGTCCCACTTATGACCCAGCCTACAATCCAAGGTGGGGCCAATGTGGGCCCCATATGGGCTGTAAATATGGGGTCTAGATGGGTTTGTCCGTGGGTTCCATGTGGGCCCTATATGAATTAGCCTATATAAATCTCATATAGAACCTGAATGGGGCCCAACTGAGCAACATACATAAGACCCATAGTGGTCCCAGTTTGAAGCCCATATGGGATACACCAGGGTATGGGTTTATCACTGGGTACTGGACTGGCCCCATGTAGTTAATGCGTGCATGTTCTTATGAGGTGTTTTGAAGCATCATGCCTGACCAGTATAATTATGCAATTTTTAACTCTGCAATTATAACTCATTTGAATCTCATGTGATCACTATAACAGCTCCTGTAAAACTCCAGGTTGTGGTAATTTACCGCCCTCCTGGGCAAATTCTATCCACCTTCCTAGAAGAGTTCATTTTTCACTATTATAAATGTAAATTAACTCTACATTAGTGAAATATTAACACTAATAAGAGTAAATTTTCCTGCAGAGTTAAATAGTGGTAACACAGAACAGAGTTAATTTCCCCTAGTGTTAAACTCTGGTATGTGATATATAAAAAAAGATACATTTTAATAAATTGATAATTGATAAAAGCAACATCAGTATTTTAGTTAGGTAAATGTCAGTTTTCTGCTTGAATATTCCACTGTTCATTCATCTACAAAATCACAAAACATGAAAGGTGCAATTAAATCTAGATTAAATTGATTATTACGTTTTGAATATGGTTATTTTTCTTACAAAAACGCATCGATTCGCTACAGGAGGCCTTTGTTCACTCCCTGGAGCTGTGTGAGACACTTTTTTTTATGGATAGGATTTTTTTTTATGGATTTATGGATTTATTTCACTTCTTTGAGACTGAAGCACTGCAACACCCGCTGACTGCAATGATAGAGCTTGGAATAGCCAGGACAATTTTTAATAAAGTAACTTTCGAGCAGTTTTCTGTTGGTCAAGGCGTTGATTCGCAACTTGAACAAGAACGAAAACTGTGTGGGTAAGTTTCCCGCCTTCGCGTGAAATTCCCGATTGCGCGGATTCCTATTTGAATGATTTCGCCTGCGAAATTTCTCTGAGCAATGGTAAATTCAGCCGCACTGCACTAGATATCAGTTGTCGCATATAGACTATGTTGTTTGTTTACACGCCAATAATAACTCAGGATGTTGGATTCTGATGTACATCCTAAAAATTTGCCTGTCAAATGTGGACTCAAGTCATTCAAACGAGAGATCTGGGTCTGTGTACTAAAGCTGCACGCATCTTTCTCTTCTATTCATGTTTGCGGACTTTAGTTTCTAATCTCTGGCACGTCCTGATTGGATGGTAGGCTATGATGAGAAAACGCAAATTCAAAATATTATTAAGCCTACTAAATAGCCTAACAAAGGTTAAGAGATAGAGGAAATGTTTCTGATCCAAGCTACCTGATGAAGGCAGTAACGCACTTAAGTGTGGTTGCCAGTAAAAGAAAGAAGAAGAAGCCTAACAAAGAATGTGTAAAAATTGCTTTACATATTTCCAGCTTTAAAAAAGACAACACATTTCTCACAACAAGAATTTGAGTCAATACTCAAACACAATTTTAATGTTCACATTATGTTTTGACCTCAGTTTGAAAGCTACACACAAAGCTGGCAGGTTAGTCGCCACGCTGGTTAAGACTCATAGGGAAGCAGTAAACTTTGTAAACTACATTCTTACATTTCTGAAGAATGCATGGTTTCAGACCCAAGGGAAAAAAGCCCATCCTTTAGTCTCTGTTTCCTACTGCAGATGTGGAGTCTATGAGATTTTTTTTTGCCCATTTAGTCATTCAAAAACAAGTTACGTTTAATACATTTGTTCAGAATGATGAGTGATGTGATTTCTCCATTAAGGCTAGACACTAAAGGTGAACAGAATAAAAATATGTTTCCCCAGTTGATTAATCACAGTACATTAAGATGACTGTTTTGAATAATTTTTTTTCTTTTCTGAAATGTTATGTGTAAATACGCAAAAAAAAAGAAAAAGAAAAAAGAAAGAAAATGTTATGCAAATCAGGCAAATGATATATGAACGAAACCCTTTGTAAAAACCTTCAGAATATGTATAGGAATAGAACTGTTAAGTCTGGTGTATGTAGGACCTGCTTAAGTGGGGATTTGCGGCTCCTTTTGAGAGTACAGCCTTTAAGGATATGAATTGTAATTGAATTTTACAGACACAAATTGATAACGTGTAATAAAATTGACACTTAAATGTGTGTTTTGGTTGTTTCTCTTACCATAATCTGAAACAGTTATTTTAGTATCATTTATAATAGTATGAAGTTTTTATTAATATTTTGCTTTATTTGCTTTTATTATATTTTCAGTTTTTGTTTAAATGTTAAATTAAAAAATTTTTTTTTTTGTTAAATGTTTAGTTAATTTTTTTAGTAATTTTATTTTTTTATTTTTGTATTTTGTAAATATTACTATTTATTTATTTATTGTTGGTAATTCTAATGCTTCGACTTAAAAATATTTCAGTTAGTTGCAAGGACAACATTTTTAATTTGAGTTTAATTTAAGTTATTTATATACGATCATAGTTTTTACTAATATTTTGAATTAGCTTTTATTTTTTATTTACAGTTTTCAGTTTAATTTTAGTAGAAATGTATGCAATTTTGTTGTGTTCATTTATTTAAAACATTACTATTTATGTTTATTTCAAGTAACAAAAAATGTTTTTAATCGCTTTAGTTCAATGGCCATCAATGGTGTGACTGTGGAGAGGGTGAGCAGCACCAAGTTCCTGGGTGTGCACATCACAGAGGATCTCTCCTGGGCTGACAACACCACAGCAATGGCCAAGAAAGCACAGCAGCGTCTCTACTTCCTCCGCAAACTAAGAAGAGCCAGAGCCCCGGCCCCCATCATGTACACCTTCTACAGAGGCACCATCGAGAGCATTCTGACGAGCTGCATCACTGTGTGGTATGGTGCCTGCAACGCATCCTGCCGCAAGACACTTCAGCGCATAGTGAGAGCAGCTGAGAAGATCGTTGGTGCCTCTCTCCCCTCCCTCCAGGACATTTACAACACCCGTCTCACCCGCAAAGCCCTCTGCATTATAAAGCAGACTTGACTTGACTTGACTTGACTAGTTAATGATAATAACCCTAGTCTGAAAGAAAACGAGTTAAGGAAGCAAAATAGCTAAAAATCACAAAATTGACCAGTGCATAAAAAAAAAAAAAAAAGATATGACAGAGACAGCAGCTGACTTTACATCGCTACTTCCAGATCTGTGACTATAACCTTTTACCTAGGAATTCAACTAACATATCAGCACTCGTTTGCTGTTATCCAGTAAACCTGAAATATCCAGTGTCAGTTGTTTCAGGAAGAATTGATAAGCGCTGAATTAAAGCCGTCGGGCTGAATTGTTGACTTTAGGGCAAAAATGGCAGTTTCAGTCAGGCAGTGCTGCCAGGTAGGCATCAGCGCAATGTCCTAACAATTCACAGAGACATACACCATGATAGCTCTGAAAGATGGGCTCGGCCTGTTCCCTCAAGAGAAAAATCACAAAATTGACCAGTGCATAAAAAATAAAAAAAAGATTTGCCTGCAGTGTCTTGCCTTAAAAGTATAGTTCACCCCCCAAAAATTAACTTCTGTCACTATGGAGGGTGAGTAAATGATGACAGAAGTTTTATTTCTGGGTGAACTATCCTACTATTAAGAGAACTTAATTATCCTACTAGAGAACTATTAAGTTCTCCTCATAGGTTTATGTGAGGCTTGTAGTAACTGCAGAGGCGTTTCGTTGCGCTCTGATGCCTCATTTGTCGTGTGATGGGCATCTAAACCACCCCCACCACCAGCACCATCAGCCCCACAGACAGCAGAGCGGTGCCCAGGATGTTGGTGGCCATCATGGAGAAGCCAGCGAAGTAAAGTCCGCTCAGCACCATCCCGCAGATCAGCACGCTGCCCCCGGAGGTCATGAGGAGGATGGCCTGCCAGTAGTACTCGCAGTTTCCCGCAGCGGGCTGCAGGGTCCAGAAGGTGTCGTTGTGGGCCAGGCTGAAGACCGTGTTCTCGGAGCGAGTCGTGAGCTGCTCGCGGGAATATGAGCGGCAGTCACTGAGGGGCAGGTGCTCTGGGACAGATGGCATGTCTTTGGACATCCCGCACCCCTGCACCTCACACGTTCTCTGGTATACAGCACAGTGACGCCTGGTTCGGCCAAGCCTGCGGGTAATAATGGAACTGAGATCTTCGGAATTTAAGCGTTCAGTCTTACATTCACATAATAAACTAATTTAATAATGCATTATTGTTAATGCTGCAGTGCCTCTGACAAAGTCTGAAAAAAGAAAGAAAAAAATACAACCAAAACCTACCAAAAAAAAAAAACAATTGGAAAAAAAAAATGTGGTATTTGAAATAAAAATGTAACTGAAAAAACAAAACAAGTTTAATCTGGGCTAGCTGCCAAAGATGAAATAAATACATAACTTTATGATAGTTATCTGAAATCAAGTAAAATTATAGCACAAAATGTAATTATAGTGGAAAAAAATGGTTTAAGATTGG